CAGAACTCAAGTCTTTGAGCAAATATGAGATAGAGTTTGCGTAATACTTGTGCTTCAAAAGCCAGTCCTCATCATTGATATCAGTGTCGGAGAGAAGACAAATCTGTTTGAGTAAACCTAACAGAAAACTATGACTCGTGTTATTAGACTCGAAGAAGTATGACTTCAATTTGATCACACGAACGATCACTTGACCGATAGATTGCACTTTAGTTGCCGTCAATAACTCGAAAGGTATCGATTGCATATCGATTTCCGCCTATAATTAAAGTTAACAATCAATTTGTATGCAAATCAATCTTATAATCGGTTTTAACACTAACTAAACATTTTTGCGAAGAGAGCGAAACCATTGTGTATGAGATGTTCTCTACTATTAAAGTCATTTGTTCTGTTGTTAACGATTGGTTTTTAAGTGTATGTCTCCAATCAATTCGCGTGAATACGTATGCGATGAATGGCTCAATGGAGTACTGGTCTTGGATTACGGCCTAACCATAGTATTCATTAAAAATCAAATACAATTATCTTAAAGAACGGATGGACTAAATAATTAATCATTTGTTTCTATACCTCATACATAAGTTTAATGTCAATAACATTTGGACAAAACTTATGCCAATTCAATGTTTGAATATTATTCTGAATCAAAACCAAATCTTTGGCGTCAATAGCTTTGGTGGAAATGATATACGAGAGGACGACCTGCCAGACACACGACAGCACACTCGACAACATCCCTATAAATTACATACCATTTATAGTGACCTTAATCGAGAAAAGCGAGAATATATACCCTGAAAGCATTCGATGAAATAGTTTATATTAAGCATAAATAGTTCCCAAACAAACTTAAAATTGTCTGCAGTNAGTTCCCAAACAAACTTAAAATTGTCTGCAGTTATAAAACGTGTCGAGCGTTTAGGAAAGAGCCATACATTCCAGTTGTCATAGAATGGACGCCAAACGTTGAGAATATCACCTTTTCATACATTAAGAGATTGTTAATGAGAATAATGTGATGGCTATGACTATGAGTATGACATACAGGGAGGCATTCGGGAGTTGGCGTTCAGCCAACAGAATGAAAGCGTTGAAATTAGTGTCAAATATTGTTGAATATAAATCTTGAAATGATCGAGAAATTCGACTGAAATCTCGCGATAGGCTTCTGACAGATGTGTTGACATTAAAGACAAAATGTCAAATAGCTGTCAATTATGTGACAAAAATTTAAATTATAATTTGTACGCAAATTATATTTGAAACGAATAAATTTTCCACTCAAACACACTATACCTCATTCGCTGTAAACAACGGCTGATTATTGGAGTATTTCTTTAATTCCAGATAAAAGTGAGACAAATCCACGTCTTCTTGAGTTATAAAGAAACCAAACGAAAGCAACACATCGTTCCAAAGGCACGGAGATATTGACTGCTCTTTCATTCCTAAACATTGTTTTCATTTATATAATAATTTTTATTATTATTTTGGAAATAAATTTTAATTATTTTTATACTTTTGAGAAGAATATTGAAGACGTCGGGCAGATATTGCGGAAACCGGAATATTAAGGCATATTGTAAATGCTTTCGGTATAACTATTTAAATATTACAAATAATAATTATTTCTCAGATTTCCATTCATTACTTCATAAGATTTACCCCAAAAACCATTAAATATTCATCTTTCGGTTTATTCCCGAAGCTATTGAGAGCATTGCCCAACACTTGGATTAATGATAAGCACTGTTCGTGGGATGCGTTTCGGAACCAAAGTGAGACATCAAACTAACGGATCAATTAGTGTATAAATTATGATCAAAAAGTGGCCGAAGTGTCAACTATTATAACTGAATGCATACTTTGCTGAGAAGTACAAACGACACCTGAGGCGGTGTTTTAGTTAACTTTTGTTCAATTAGTTGATACATATTGAGGAAACATTGAGTCGATGTATTTGATGGCAATAGTCGTGGAGCCATGTATTCAATTATTTTCGGATAATTTATAGCCGTTTCCAAAACAAATTGATTCGTTTCATCGCAACGTATTTCTGCAATCTATTCATCAAAATATAGATTTTATTAAAAAATATATTTCACTAAATGGTATGAAACAAACCGATCCCAACGAGTCGAGCAAATTAGTGAACATTCGTTTAGAGGGCGGATACATATAATTGGTGTCATTAATCCACGACAATATCGAACCCAAAAGAGATCTCTCTATATGAGTGTCTTCGTTATGGAAGTCATAGGAATTCAATAATATTCTACAAAATTAAGTTTACGATTACATGTAAATAGGAATTAATATTTGTTTCATTTGGAAACATACGGAATGCTCTTTTCGATGAAAAGTGAGGCCAAAACCACTTTACTTGAAGGCGTTTCGATAAGCTGTGCGATTGTGTTCTCGAAGTCGATTCGGTTTCTTTCAATCGATTTCAAAGAGTGTTGATTTAGTGTCGCTTCGATGAACTTATTCCCATACAAATTAACATTAATTTATTTGCAACATTAATTATTATTTTCAATCTCAATACCTCTATGTTGAAGAGTGCGGGTCCGGTGCAACCGTTGGGATCGTAACTGTCTTTATCACATGAAATCTTTAACTTTACCTATAATTGTCATTTCATATAACATTTATAACAATTATTATAGTTATTAAATAGTTATTATAGGATTCAATTTCATTGTAAGACTTACTTCTTTTTTAATGTTAGGGTAGAGATCAGGCAATGATTGCATTAAATTC